CAGTCCCCAGGACTGAAAGGGGTGGGAGCTTCTCATCAGTGGAAACTTCCCAGACCATCTGACCTAAAGTCAGCCCCTCTCACTCCTTAGCGTCCGTCGTAGCTATACACCTTCCCTGGCTCCTTTACGACACCTGGTGATGCTCTGTGCATTGTTTACACGATCCTGTCTCCTGCTGTCTCATGAGGTGTGAGCTCCTTGAGGGCAGGGACAGTGTCTGTCTCATTTTCCAAGCAGCTTATGGAGGCTGCTCGGTGAACCACTACAGACTGGGTGGTGGGCGATCACTGGTGTTATGGTTTATAACTGAAAAGTCCCCCAAAGCCTCATGTGCTCACAGGTGAAGTTTCTGGGAGGTCACTGGGCCAAGGAGGTGTGACACTCATCACTGGGTTAGCACACGGATGTGTCTACAGCTAATGTGATGCTGAGGTGGAACTTGGTCAGAGGAGATGGATTGCGGGATCGTGGGCTGGCAAGATCTATCTCCTCCTCCTTCCTGCCTGCCACGCCGTGAGCTGTTTCCCCTCTGTCACACTGCTCTGCCTTGGAGCCAGCCCACTATGGACTGAAAACTACAAACTGTGAGCCAAAATAACCCTTTCCTCCTTTAATTTGTGGGTGTAGGTATTGTGGCTCAGTAGTGAGAAGGTAACCAAGACACATGGGTACTGTGAGCTGGCCGCAGGGGCTGGTGCGTGTGGGCTTCCCTGGATGGCCCCTCAGAGCCCTTCATTTTCAGTCCTCAACTGAAAAACAGTGAGATCCCAAGAATGTGAGGGACATCTCAAGGACTCACAGAGGCTGGGCTGAGGGTTCTGGGGGGTTTCCTGGGTGGGGCTGGCTGGCGGAGGCACCAAATGCTGAGGGAGCCAGGCTTATGAGCCATGGGGGTCGGCTGCACAGTGGGGAAGGACTGCCTTCTGGGGCCTACTGTACAACTCCCCAAGGGCCCTGCCACTGGGGAGCTCTGTGCCGCCTCCTCCAGCCTCCATCAAATCCCTCCAGGTGGGAGGTGGTGTGGCAGGGAGGTCTGGAGTCAGCTCCGCCACTCTGCACACCACGGGTGCTCTCGCCTGTGAGATGGGGCTGGAAACGGAGGTCCCTGGAGGGACGAGGGCTGGAAGAGCTCGCAGGGGGAGAGTTCTGTGCATATTAGCTGATACAGCACACGCCCCACATAACCACTCTCCTAAAACACAGCCTGCTCTCACCGTAACAGAAGCACAGATACCACTGCACGCAGGACACTGCCCACCTACAGAGGCGCAGAGCCTCCTGGGCAGCGGGGTGGGGGTGTAGCACATACTATTGATGGGTAGGGGCCACATGGTAATGCACCCCACGCTGAAAGAAGCACCTTCTCTCTGACTTAGCAATTCCACTTAGGAATTTAAACTCACACATGTGTGAAATGACGTTCCATACAAGGATGTTCACTGCGGCATTGTAATAGCCAAAGATCAGAAACAACCAAAATGCCCATTAACACGATTAACTAAATTACAGAACAGTGTTGCAATAGAGCTCAGCTATTAAAGGAGAGAGGACAACTGTGAATGCCTGGTGGATGTGGAGCAAAAAGTAAGGTGCAGAACAGAGAATAGGAAATGCCCACCTTTGTGTTGAAAAATTCTTTTATCCACCTGAAAACACTGACGACCAACTAGAAAGACCGCTTCAGCTAATTAGCAGTGCTGCTTCTGGGGAGGAGGGGGTGGGAGGCCAGGAGACACATCTGGCAGAAAGATTTGCGCACTGTACAACCTTATATACCTTTAGAAGTTTTTTTCCAAGGGCATATGTTACCCAATCAAGGAAAAGGTGACTGGAGAACATTTGCCATTTTTCCCGGCACAGATAACGAAGGCCCACTGCTGTGATACCAAGCACTTTCCATGTGCACCAAGGAACAAGACAGATTGAACAATGTGGCTCTGCCTCTACCTCTGCTGCCGGGGGAGAAAATCTCATCAAGAAGTCTTGCCTTTAGGAAAGCGAGTCTTGTCTCCCTGTCGACACAAAATCGACGCTCTTGGTAATGGCAGAAGATGCCACCTGGGCACCGGCTGACTGAAGGGTGCCTTCCAGCTTCCCTGACAACACAGTCCCCCGAGATAGAGAGGGGATGCAGCCAGCCTGCAAATCTCAGTCAGACACGGCCCATCTTGCCGCTGCTGGATCCAGGCATGCTGACCCCAAGTGGAGCAGCAAGCTGTGAAGGAGGTGGAAAATAAACCCCTTGTTCCTTCTGTGAGGAAATTCTGTCTAATGCTGCTTAGAGGCTATGTTGTTGCCATGTTTGGGCAGAAAAAAGAATGCTGGCCCTTTTGGGGGCTGTGCTCTGGGACCACTCAGCCACGGATACAGGATAGACACGAAGGGGAAAGCCTGTGAACCCCAAGAGTGGACTGACACAGAAGTGGGGTATACAACCAGGTGGAAAGCCAGGGAAGTGGCACATGCCTGTGACTCCAACATTTGGGAGGCTAAAGCAGGAAGATTGCAAATTCAAGGCCAGTCTGAGCAACTTAGCAAGACACTGGCTCACAAAAGGGCTGGGGAAGTAGCTCAGTGGTAGAGAACCCCTGGGTTCTAGCCTGGTAATGCAAAAACAAAACAAAATACCCCAAAACCAACAAAAACAAAGAAGGCAAAAACCAAAAAAAAAAAACAAAAAACAAAACAAAACCCAAAACCCAACTCACTATGCAAAGGTGGTCTTTATGGAGTCCTGAGAGCCTTTCCTGAGGGGTGGGCTGCTCAGAGAAGCAGAGAGCAGCTCAGCTGACCCCCAGCACTCAGGAACTGGGCCACAGCCCAGGGTGCCAGGGCTGGTCTGCACTTTGTGTTGAAAAGGTCTTGTTGGACATGTGTTGTTAGAACTAGAGGCAGAGGTGTCTGTTTTTCCTTTATCCTGTGTCTGTGGTTTCTTGACCCCTGGCTCCCAGGGATGACAGCACATGTTCCTCCTGCCCTTGAATCCAGGGAAAGGACAGCATCCCTCACTTGTGAAACAAGGTGGTGGGGTTTAAATGTTTTTAGCACGGGGACTCTGGGTCATAGGCTCTTAGGAGGCAGCCCCAACAGATGCAGCAGGAAGGGTCAAGAGGAGGGACTGGGTGGGGGCAACAAGCCTGGAGACGTCTGCAGCCTCCCTCCCTGTGCCAGCTGTGGATGCGCTTGTGGAGAAGCCTGGCCTCCTGAAGCACAAAGCTGCAAAATGCTGGGGAGAACTCGGGAAAGACAAGGCTGCCTCCAGGGACAGGGAGGCCTGGGGGAGGGGGAGACTCCTCACTCCACCTTTCTTTTAGTAACTTCTGAACTTCTGTACCATATGCAAGCATTACCTGGTTAAAAACCAGTAACATTTAAAAAGAAAATACCAGTGAAGAAGTAATGATCTCTAAAGTTCCAGCTTTACCTGGAAAAGTCTGTGGTTCTACAGATTACATGTGCCATGCTCTGGTCTGCGAATTCATAAAGTCATTAAGGGGTGGACTGAAGCAGTAGGTCAGTCGACGATCCACGACTGTCTTCCAGATAGAGGTGGCGGGGGAGGAGAGCACGGGTCCTGCAGCTTACAGGCTGTAGGACCTGGAGGTATGAGTTAACCTCTGAGACCTCCGTCTCTGCTTCCTGCGGTTGGGGTGAGCTCGCCAGCAGGGCTATTGTGCAGTTAGGAGGGAGAGCTGGAAAGGCGGGAGCCCGCAGCAGGTGGTGCATGTAGGTATCTGACAGCCATGGCAAGTGAAGTAAAAAACGGGAGCCCAAATGCAACAGCTCAGCAACATGGTTCAGTAAGGGCCCCTCTGCTGGGACACTCACCTCATGGTCAGAAGACTGAGGGCAGGGCTGGCCTCCCTTGCTCTTCCATCAGAGGTCCAGCACCCAGCATGAAGCAGGTGCCATCTCACTCTGGCATGCTCCTGTCTGGCACAGCAAATGGGCGTCACCTGGCATGTGGACCCTGGCCAACGGTCATGACTACTTGGGGTTGAGTGGTGCGTGTGGGCAGCAGGGCTGGCCACAGCATCATGCGGGGCACGGCACCAGTCTCGCCAGTTTGTCTCTGCACGTGGCTGGAATGAAACACTGGGTCTCCATGTTGGCTCTTCTGCTTCCTTCTCCCGTGGAGATGCTCCTCTTCCAGGCCGCTGGGAAAACGCCACACTGCTGACTTCTGCAGGGGTCAGGTCAGTGAGACTGTGTACTTCTGGAGTCCCAGATGTGTGCGGAACAGGTGCACTTCATTCCCACGAGCACCACAGGGGTGCAATCAGCACACTTCAGAGATACAGAGACTCAGAGGGGTGGAAGCCACGCACACAGAGCGCGGTGCTGGCAGCTGGTCAGTAGGGATTTGTACCCAAGGCCTTTCTACCTTAAACAGTAGCTCCCACCCCAGAGGCTGGAATCACGCAGTAGTTTAAACCACCAGTGCCAGGACCACACCAAGGTTCTGTGCTTTCTGACCCCCGTGAATGCCTGTGACTGTGGCCAGAACTAAGTCCCCGTGTACACTGTTTTTTCTGTATGAATGACCTATAATGCAGTAAGGGATTACCACAACAGTGATAATGATGTGCTGTAATGTCATGTGACTGTAGCTTCTTTCTCAAAATACCTTACTGTGCCATGTCTGGCCTGTGTGTGACAATGAGACGACACAATGCCTGTTTGACGAGTGAGGTAAATGATGATCATCAGAAACTGCAGGCAGAGCCCCAGGGTATCTGTAACCCTCTGTGCTCCCCATTCCCATGACTCTCGTATGTGGCTGGTCTCCTAAAGGGGCGGAAGCCCCACGCCACGACGACCCACTTCCAAAGACACACCAGGGAACCCACAGTGGTGACGCTGTCATGCTGTGTTGAGCCTGTTGCCTCAGGCCGAGGGAGGCCACATGCTAGCCTTCCTTACATGTGCAGGGGACACAGCCATGACAGTGTGAGGGAGGCTAGAGGGGACTCCGCGCCACCAACACCACCAGCCCTCGGTTACCAAAACTAGCTTTAATTTATCCGAAGCCACACAGAGCTGCATAAAAGCGGTGTGCGGGAGGAGGGAAGCTGGCAGAGCCCACAGTGCAGGCCGAGGGCCTCAGAAGTTCTCCAGCAAGCCCAGGATGCGCTTCTGCTCCGTGTCGCGGAACTCGGGACTCCGGCCGTCTCCGATGTTCTCCGCGTACTCTGGGGAGACAAGGACAGGGAGACAGTTCTGAGCACACTGTCCCCGAAGCTGTTACTGCCCAGGTCCCCGTGAGGTGTGGGCTGCTTTCATGCTGGTGACATGGACAGCAGCTCGGTTGGGCTCCTTGGTCACGCCTGTGAGGCCTGTCGACAGGGCTGGTGTTCGTGTGTTCCTGAGTTCAGGCTGTGCCCCTCCACTCACCCCTCACTCACTCTTGCCCCCAACTCTGCTGAAAGCTGTTCCCCATGCAGTGGGATTAAACCGCCTCAAAAGGGCCTCAGAGAAGGCCAGAACTTGGATTTAAGCTGTCCAGCCTTCAGAATTGCAAGGAAGTTGTTCTTTATAGATCACCTAGGCTCAGGTATTTTGTTACAGGGGCACGAATGGACCAAGACAGACGGCTACAGGGCAAGCACTGTTCTAGGCGTGTGGTTCTCAGAGTGGGGCCCTGACCAGTGGCTCGGGCATCTCGTGAGAACTTTACTAACGGGCACTATCTTCACCCACTCAGCTGCAGCCTGGGTTTGATCAAGTTCCCCAGGCCACACTGATGCACGCCCGGGGGGAGAACCATAGCTGCAGTGGGAATTAGTAATAAGAGAAACAGAGATCTCGGCTGTGTACAGGCTGCTTCCTACTGAGGGTAACAAACACCACACACCCAAGACACACAGAGGCTGCTGAAGCCGGAGGGAGCGCAGGGTGATGCAGGTAGGGGGACACAAGGCCTGTGCTGCAGGGCTCTGAGCAGCAGCAAGGAGGCCAGTGCGGCCAGTGGCCGGAGCCCAGGCAGGGGACAGCGCAGGGCCCAGATCATGGGGGGCCTTGGGCTGCTGTAAGGCCTTTGGCCTTTTCCCCAGGACTTCGGGGCAGATCAGTGATGAGATCTGAACGTTCCCAGTGGCTGTGTGGGGAATGCCTGAGGGGCAAAGGCAAAAGAGGAGTCCACAGCACCAGGCCGGCAGTGGGGAGGGTGTCTGCACCAACAAGGCAGGGCAGTGGGGGGCACAGGCGGCCGTACGGGCTGTTTTTAAGGAGAAGGGAGGAAGACAGCACAGTCCAGGGGGGTCGATGAGTGACAGGACTCTAGTGGGAGGAGGGGTGCAGGAGCAAGGGGCACATGGGGAGGCGGGAGGGGCTCCCACGAGAAGAGGTGACGAGACAAGACTGATGGGGAGACACTGCTGGAGTTTTAGGGTGCTAACCAGGTTCATGCTTGCCTTGTTGTCCCAGTAGTTAGTAATGTTCCATATCATCCTCATACGTGACCCCCCAGAAAATTTACACACAGACACACGCACAGACACACACAGATACAGACACACACACACACACACACACACACACACACACACACACACCCCCATTTCAGGAGGGAAGCAAGCAAGCAGCCTGGCTTTCCGAGATGACTCCCAGGAGGAGGTATAGAGAGCCTGGAGGGACGGGTTCTCCCCGCTGCCCCTGCTCACAATTCTAAGTGACCTTGGGTGGGTTCTTCTGAAAGTGAGTGTAAAATTCCTGGCAAATAACAGATGTTTAAGAAACATCAGTTTCCTCCCAGATCCTATGCTCAGACTGGCAATGTCACTTGGGGAAATCCCACTTGTCCTTGCAGGCCATCTCAAGAGGTGTCTTCTGGGCCACATACGGGCCTGACTTCCGGACTATCCTCTGCTTGTTAACTCTCCAGAGGCTGGGGCTTTGGTCTCACTCAGCTAAATTCCCAGCAAAGCCCGGCTGAGGCCACTTGGCAGTGGGCATGGTGAGTGCTCTCTGCCTGCCTGTCTGCCCCATGGACTCTTGCTGGCCTGGCCACAGGACAGAACAGAGAGAACTCCATGAGGCTTCTGCATAATAAAACAGCTGCTAATGCAGAGCTGACCAAGATGGGAGAGAGAAGGAAGAGCACCACCCCCCACCCCATCCCCTGAGGGAACAATTTTGTTCCTGCTATTTCTTTGTTTCTCCTCCTTCCTCTATTACTTTGGATGCAAGCAGGAAAGTGGGATTTGGGAGTCAGACATGTGCCAGCTGTGAGTCTGCCCCCCGGAAATCATTCTCCTCTGTTAGGCCCATCCATCACGTCCAACAGCAAATGACTGTGATGCCTATGGCAGCCTCACAGTTAAAGAAAGTGGGCCCAGAGTGGAGCCTCGGGAGCAGCTCTGGGCCGTGTGTAAGTGGTATCTCTTACTGCATGTGAGTGATAGCACTGCTGCCCCAGGAGAGAGAGAAATGACCATCAGAGCATTTAAAACCCCCAGAGGCACGGTCTGGAAGCAGGAGTCTTAATGGATTGAACTAACACTTTGCTCTCCTAATGTCTCCTCAGACCCAGGAGGGGGGACGTGGAGAAAGTGTCAGATCCTTTGAGGCAGTGATTTTCCAACAGTAAAGCCTGTTTCCCCAGCAGGACCTAATCTTGGGATGCACAAGGCAGAGGAAACCAGTCAGTGTCAGTCTCCTCACTGAACCACCTCTGCCAAGGAACATGTGGCTCCCTGTTTCCAGCACCAACCTCTGGGCATCTCCATGGTCATTCCGGACATGGGAAGTGGGACGGCCTGCTCTCTGAGTATAGGCAGGGAGCAGATCTGGATGGGGCTGCTACACACAGTGTGGGGGAACAGCAGGAGGTGCCTGTGTGCTGGGCACTACAGACGCTCCTCGCTTAATTTCTGCAGCACAAGGCAAGGCAGAGAACACCATCCCTGCCCACAGCAGAGGAAGCTGACATTGAGGTGACCTGCCCACATGGAGGCTGCGAGAAGAGCTGGCATTCAAACCTAGAACCTGTGTGAGCAATGGAAAAGGGCACCCAAAAGCCACTGGCATGGGGCCGGTCCCTGCAGTGGCTTCCTCTTACCTCTGTAATATGCCATCTTGCCTGCTTCCCAGACCAGGTGGACTACTGCTCCAGAAGGAGCTCCAAGCAGCTCAGCCCATGAGCATGGGATTCAATGTGCTCATCTAGGTTGGACCCTAGAGGTACTACTGGGTGGTAAAGGGGTTTCAGTGTCTGGAGCATACATGTGGTAGACTGGCTGGGGTCACACTCCTACCCAAGTTACTCAGTATCAGAGCTGGAAGGGCTCTCAGAAAATGGACTGCAAGCTGGGTGTAGTGAGGTAGCAGATTCCAAGTTTGAGCCCAGTCTACATAACTTAGTGAGCACTATATTAAAAAAATACAAAATCCCTAGTACCACTCAAAAAAAAAAAAAAAAAAAAATTGGCCCGTAACCCTGAGGAGGCAGGGATCCAGCCAGTCATAGAGCAAAGCCAAAAGTAGGTCTGTGACCTGACCTAGCGCTCCTTCATGGCTCCTACAAGTGACACCAGCAGTGCAGTCCACCCTTTGCCTCCATCCACCCCTCCTCTGGGCTCAGTCTTTGTTTCTAAGGGAGAGCTCTGCTTGGAGCATATCTTGGTGGTACCAGCTACCTCTGGTTATTATAGCTTCTGCAGCAGTTTATAAATATTGAACAGATTCCTCCCAGAGGTCTTGGGGAAGACTTCTCTTTGCTCCGTGTGTGTGTGTGTGTGTGTGTGTGTGTGTGTGTGTGTGTGTGTGTCTGTGTGTGTGTGTGTGTGTGTGTGTTTGTGTGCAGAAAGAGAGAGATGCTGCTGCAGGGTGGGGGAGAGACAGAGAGAGAGGGATGAGGGAAGAGGGAGAGGGGGCCAAGGATGAGGTGGGTTAGAGTGAGGAAGACAATACACACATCAACTCACCTCTTACTTCCCTAGCATTTTCAAATGCTCTTATAATAAAGCCTTTGATGGAGCTCAAAAACAGGCAGCAGTGCTGAACACATAAATATTAAAGCAAACTTTAGACAGGAGGTTTACTATTCAGGCACAGAATGCAAGCTGTTCTGTTTATGGTAAGAAGGGATGGAAGGGGCCGTAGGGGTGGTGACAGAACTGTTTTCCAGGACAGGGGCCTGGGCCAATGGTCATAGCTGGGTCAGGCCCCTGAACTTGAGGCCTTAAAGGCTCACCCTATACAAAGGCAGGAAGAAGAGCTGGAAAAGAAGAGCAACACCAGCATGTTCACACTAAGAACCTAAAAGACATACAAAAACCCACAAAATACAAACATGAGAGGAAGACCTGTCAGGCCTTAACAACAACAATAAACTTGGAAGGTTTAAAGGCTGGCCTTTTCCAGGAAGAGAGTATTTTGCCAGGGTATGGGGTACAATTCTACCTGGGCTATCCTTCAAATTAAATGCACTTAAAGGAGAAGGCATCTTTGCTCTTGGTGCAAACAGGCTAACATGCCCACAGTGCTCGCCCACCTTTAAGGCCTCCAGGAATGTGACCTGGCTGCCAACCCACAGTCAGTGACCAGGCAAGGAAGAAAGGTCACTCCATCCACTAAGTATGTACAAGTTTGCTTTAATATTTATGCACCCAACTGTATTTCCAACTTCAGGGCCTTGCTGCACAGGACAGTATTTATTTTAGGACTAGCTTCTTCACAGAGAAGAAAGCCAAGATTCAAACATGGTATCTACTAACTTGCCAAAGGTACGAGAGATGCAGAAAATGCTGCTGCCTGGTGGATCCCTGTTCCACCAGTAGATTATCCTGGACATTCACCTCAGTGACAAAGACAGTTACCCCACCTGGCTCTTGCCAGGGCCACCCTACGTGTAGTAACTCAGCTGTTCTCACCACTTTTGAGGCAGATGCCATTTTATAGATGAACACGCTGCAGCTTAGTGAGGGCAGGTGGTTGCCCTGGGGCAGTGGTGGCAAACCTATCACATGTGTGCCACAGAGAGCTGTCACTGAAAGTTCTAGAGCATTTGCCACCACTGCTCTAGGGTCATACAGCTAGGCAATGCCAGGGTGTAGACTCCTGGCAGATGCTACAGTTCATGTGTAGTTGGTCCTTTCCCCTCCCTCCTCCACAGGCCCCCTCACGGAGGCAGCATTTCCCGAGAGTTCTCGAGTGAATGGGCTGCGGGGCTTGGGGGCAGTGATCCTTTCCT